AATTTTCATAGCAATGATGTGAGTATTCTACTTGGTGATGGGAATAGATCTTTTTTATCACAAATCAGATATTCAGTTGGCTCTTCTCCGATATCTGTAGCTATTGGTGACTTCAGCAAAGACTCTCACCTAGATATCGCTGTCGCAAATCGGTATAGCAACGATTTGAGTGTTCGTCTTGGTCATGGGAATGGCTCTTTTGCAAACGAAACAAGATATTCAGTTGGCTCTTCTCCGAGATCTGTAGCTATTGGTGATTTCAACAACGACACCCGCCTTGATATTACTGTCGCCAATTCAGGTAGCGATGATGTGAGCGTTCTTCTTGGTCGTGGAAATGGCTCTTTTGCATCAGAAACAAGATGTTTCGCCGGTTCCTCTCCGATATCTGTAGCTGTCGGTGATTTCAACAATGATGCTCACTTAGATATCGTTGTCGCGAATGTTGATAGCAATGATGTGAGTGTTGTTCTCAGCCATACAAATGTGTCTTTTGCAGACGAAACAAGATATTCAGTTGGTTCTTCTCCGATATCTGTAGCTATTGGCGATTTCAACAACGACACTCGCCTTGATATCATTGTCGCTAATTTGGGTAGCGATGATGTGAGCGTTCTTCTTGGTCATGGGAATGGCTCTTTTGCAGATGAAACAAGATGTTCAGTTGGATCTTCTCTGATGTCTGTAGCTATTGGTGACTTCAACAACGACACCCGCCTTGATATTATTGTCGCCAATTCAGGTAGCAATGAAGTGAGTGTTGCTCTTGGTCATGGGAATGGCTCTTTTGCAGACGAAACAAGATATTCAGTTGGCTCCTATCCGAAATCTGTAGCTGTTGGTGATGTCAACAACGACACTTACCTGGATATCGTTGTCGTCAACGAGCTTAGCAATGATGTGAGTGTTCTTCTTGGTTATGGGAATGGCTCTTTTGCAGACGAAGGAAGATATTCAGTGGGCTCTGAGCCATTCTCTGTAGCTGTTGGTGATTTTAATAACGACGCTCATCTGGATATCGTTGTCGCCAATTTCGATAGCAATGATGTGAGCGTTCTTTTTGGTCATGGGAATGGTTCTTTCGCATCACAAACAAGATATTTAGCTGGTATTGCTCCAATCTCTGTCGCTGTTGATGATTTCAACAAGGACACTTGTCTGGATATCGTTGTCGGCAATAGAGATAGCAATGATGTGAGCGTTCGTCTTGGCCATGGAAATGGCTCTTTTGCAGACGAAACAAGATATTCAGTTGGCTATGTTCCACAATCTGTAGCTATTGGTGACTTTAACAATGATTCTCTGTTAGACATCGTTGTCGTCAATTATGGTATCAATGATGTGAGTGTGCTGCTGCAGTATAATAGAGTAGGACTAACCTACAAAGTGAGCTATGCATCCGGTGGTGCATCTAGCCTACAATGTATAGTAATTGATGATTTTAATAGTGATAACAATTTGGATATGATCTTGGCCAATCACGGTACCAATAATATAGGCGTTATTATTGGATATGGAAATGGTAGTTTCGAAAAGCAAATGATGCTGAGCACAGGCTCAAATTCTCATCCAACTTCGATAGCTCTTGGTGATTTCAATGGTGACAGCTTGGTAGACATCGCTGTAGCTAATTATGGTACAAAGGAAGTAGCGATGATGCTTGGAAATGGAAACGAAACATTTACAAGTCAAACAAGTCGCGGAAAAAGTTTCGATTCACATCCGTTGGCTATAACTTCCGGTGATTTGGATAATGACAAGCGATCGGAAATCGCTATTGTTTACGATGATAGTGATAATGTGAATATTTTTGTTGCATACAATCATGGCTCTTTTACGAAAGAAACAAAGTATTCAGTTGGCTCTGGAGCATTCTCTATCGCTGCTCGTGATTTCAACAACGACACTCGCCTAGATATCGTTGTCGCAAATCGGTATAGCAATGATTTGAGTGTTCGTCTTGGTCATGGGAATGGCTCTTTTGCAAACGAAACAAGATATTCAGTTGGCTCTTCTCCGACATCTGTAGCTGTTGGAGATTTCAACAACGACAATCATCTAGATATCGTTGTCGTTAATTATGAGAGCCATGATTTGAGTGTTCTTTTTGGATATGGGAATGGCTCTTTTGCAAATGAAACAAGATATTCAATTGGCTCTGAACCATTCTTTGTCGCTGTCTGTGATTTTAACAACGACACTCGCCTAGATATCGTTGTTGATGCTGATAGCTGGTATGTGAGTGTTTTTCTTGGTGATGGGAATGGCTCTTTTGTAGACGAAACAAGATATTCAGTTGGCTCTTCTCCGACATCTGTAGCTGTTGGTGATTTCAACAACGACAATCACCCAGATATCGTTGTCGCCAACAAGGCTAGCGATGATGTGAGCGTTCTTCTTGGTCATGGGAATGGCTCTTTCGCGTCACAAACAAGATATTCAGTTGGCTCTGCTCCGACATCTGTAGTTGTTGGTGATTTCAACAACGACACTCGTCTAGATATCGTTGTCGTCAATAGGGATAGCAATGACGTTAGAGTTTTTCTTGGTCATGGAAATGGTTCTTTTGCTGACGGAACAAGATATCCAGTTGGCTCTAAGCCAATTTCTGTAGCTATAGGTGATTTCAACAACGACACTCATCTAGATATTGTTGTCACCAATTTGGATAGCCATAATGTGAGTGTTTTCCTTGGTAATGGGAGTGGCTTTTTTACATCACAAACAAGATATTTAGCTGGCAGTCATCCAATATCTGTAGCTGTCGGTGATTTCAACAACGACAATCGCCTGGATATCGTCGTCGCCAATTGGGATATGAATCATGTGAGTATCCTTCTTGGATATGAGGATATAATGTTTGTAATGCAAATGAGGCTCATAACTGGAGATGGATCACGACCACAGTCGTTAATGCTGAGTGATGTTAACAATGATGATATAATAGATATCGGTGTCACCAATTCACGCACTCACAATATTGGTATTTTTCTTGGATATGGCAATCTATCTTTTACAAATCAACTGACATACTCAACATATCCATATTTATCACCTTGTTCTATAGCTGCTGGCGATTTCAACAATGATACTCGAGTGGATATCGCTTTTGGTAGTTGTGACTCGGCTATTGTTGGTGTTTTCCTTGGATATGGCGATGGCTCTTTCGGAAATCTAACGGCGTATCCAACAGGTTCAAATTCGACTCAATACTCTCTAGCTATTGGTGATCTTAACAACGATACTATACAAGACATTGTCGTCGCGAATCACGACAACAACAATCTAGGTATACTTATTGGATATGGTAACGGCACATTTGCAAATATCATTCTATTCCCATTGGACTATGGATCCAATCCATTCTTCATTGTCGTTGGAGATTTTAACAATGATAAGAAACTAGATATTGTCGTTGCGAATAATGGAACTGATAGTTTAAGTGTTCTCTTGCAGAGTTGTTAGCTCTTTATCTTGTAAAGCCGTTGACACATTAGAAGACCTCCCACCCCTCTGCTCCCTCTCCCTTCGGATCAATACGAAACAGATCGACCTATTTGTTCCAAATACAAAAATATAAAAATCAATTTGCTACTCTCAACCTTTTCTTTTCAGCCACCCATATTCTCTATTCAATATAATATATTTAATAAAGGTGCTTGAATTAGAATTTGTTTAACATTAATAGGTGTGGGTGTCGGTGACTATGAAGAAGAAGTACCACCACACACACACCACCGACACTCACCCACACCCACACAGCCACAACCACACCCACGCCAGGGCTCCGAATGGGCCGGCCCATGGGCTGAAAGTGTTTTGGAAATTACTATGAGGCAAAAGCGGTTGAAAAGTTTTTTCGATAAGATTCTATGAGACACTAGCTCTGTGGTTTCTTAGAAACGGCATTTTTAAAAGTAGGTTGTTTTTGTCAAGACTCAGAGCTCTCTTTCGAAAATTTTTAGTGTTCATAGATTCATATGTGTAAAAGTTTTCAAAAAAAGAATCGTAACTGTGAAAAGGAACGACCTAGTTCAAAAAACGCAGTTCCTACGAAACCACAGAGCTAGTGTCTCATAGAATCTTCTCGAAAAAACTTTTCAACTCCTTTTATCTCACAGTAATTTCCAAAACACTTTCGGCCCATTCGGAGCCCTGACCCGCACCCACACCCACACTAACACCCACACCCACCCACATCCACACCCACCCACATCCCACACCCGCACTCACACCCACACACCCACACCCACACCCACACCCACACACCCTCACTCACACTCACACACCCACACCCACACACCCACACCCACACACCCACACCCACCCCCATCAAAAAACGTTTTTATTTACGACTAATTATGTATTCTTAAAACCTGTATTTCATACAATAAAATATATAGAAAAATATCAATTTTAATAGAATGTTCATTTTAGAGAGAAAATTTTGGACATATAAGTTCCAGGAACGAATGAAAACACATTAGACATGAAATCTTAAAAACTTCTATTTAAAATAGACTCATTTGTTATTGATAGTTCCATTCTTGACGATACATTTTAATTCATCTATGAACAAATTTTACTATGTTGAAAAGGTCACAATATTCATCATCGAACTATTTAATATTACTGTAAACGTCTATGGACGTAACGATAAGAAAAACATATTCAAAAAGAAAAAAAAGAAAAGCTATTTAATATAATCATTGTTGACGACGTCAGCTATGAAATAGAATGAGCATACACATATATATAAACGATTGTATTCAACATATTTGCCATTCACAATTGAACATGGACAATTCAACTCTCAATATCGTTGATCTATGCGACGAAATGTTGCTCAGCATTTTAAACAAACTTAATAATATGGATGTATTATATTCACTCATACGAGTCGATAAAAAACTTCACAGATTAGCTCGAGATATTACTTTTACACAGTCTATCAATTTCGTAACAATACTATCGAATGAACATGATAATTCAAGAAACAATTCAATACTTAATCGATTCTGTCTTTTAACTTTACCTCGAATTCAGCAAAATATTCAATCTCTTACTCTTGATTCATTATCAACAGATCGTGTTCTTCGCATTGGAAATTTTTCGAAACTTCATAAATTTAGTCTTGTTAATCTTCCAATTGAAATGGCATGTCGTATTTCCAATGGTATGTTATCTGTTTTCTTAATCTTTAAATGAAGAGAAACTATAATTTGATTATTTTAGATGAATCATCATTGGTTTATACTCTCAGTCATCAAATCTCACATCTAACTGTTACGATTAATGTAGACGACATAGCTCAACATATACGGGAATTGTTTAAAAATGTTTTTACCACTATTTTTCGAATGTTTATGAATTTAATTCATTTTAATTACAGTTGTCATAGTGATTTATTGTATTCACCAAAAGCATTTATTGATTTAGCATCTAGAACATGTTATTCATCAAATATTGTTCATTTGAATGTTAGGCTTAACGATTTTAATGATTGTCTTTGTTTACTTAATGGACATCTTAGTCAATTGCATACATTTATTGTAGAAATTGATATGATTCGTAAAACATTGATGACTATCAATAATACGGTAAGATTTTTTTAAATGACAGAGAAATACTTTTATCTCTTGGCATAGTAATAAAACACATATTTTTGATGAAGTCTTTAATCTAGTGTAAAATTGATCGGTAGAAACCACTTCGAATGAATTTTATTAGAAAAAGAAGAAAATTTCCGTTTTCTTTTCAACCTTCTTCGATCAAAAAAGATTATATCATTGTGAATAGTATTATAAACTTGACATCCTATTAATCTATTATTATTATTCTTATTATACGGCGTAGATTTTGTAAAATCTTATCACATGAAGAAATGAAATATTAAATGATAAAGAAATATTTCTCTAATAATAAAAAAAAGAAAGTTTGATGTTATGATGAATGACTTTAGACAAAAATATCTTCAGTTTTATCAGATTATCTATAAAAGGATAAAGAAACATTTTGTCATAGAAATTTAGCAAATATTCATTTTAAAATTGATCAATGAAAAAAGATATGAGTAAAATTCTAAATATATAATTACTTAGAGATTAGATTTACTCTTATATAAATGATTTTGAGATCATTTTATATTTGTAATTATTTTTTTTTAGAAAACTGTGTCTAATTTACAATGTTTCTCATTGATTTCATTTCGTGAAACAATTGAGTATGATAATAAAATTGTACCATTGCTTCGTCAAATGTCAAAATTAGAAAAACTTACAGTATCTCTTATTGTTTATCGTCGAATTTCATTCATTGATGGCAATCATCTAGTTAATGATATTCTTAATAATATGTCACATCTCCATACTTTCCATAAGTTCTGCAGGGAGAATAGTTGATCGAGGATTTTAAAGGATTTAAATCGATTTCTGATTCGGGCGCAAAAGCAGATCCTGCAGCTATGAGGATTCTTAGGGGTTTTTGAAAGCACATAGTACTATTCAGGACTCATCGAAATCTTCATCCTGATTCACCAGAATTTATGAGGATCCACCAGGACCTATGAAACCCAACAAAGGTAGTAAGAAAAGAGATCAGAATTGGACTGGAGCTATCAAATAATGAGCAGAGTGATGTTTTATATAATAAAATTCTAAAAAAAATTTCATAGATTCGAAAAATTCTTCCATTTTTCGGCATAAATGAGGATCGAAGGGCCTGATTTTTCCTCCTTGAATCAAATTAATCATTGAAGAAAATCTCTCGCTACTGGCAGATGGTCCAGATCTATTTCCGCCGTTTGATATAGTGAACGACTTAAGTTATCAACAATCACTAAAAGAAAGTAGACAGAGGATTACTTTGGTACTTCACACACATGGTGGTTCACTTGTCCGTTCCAAAAAAAATCTGTATTATGGCTATTATTCGCTTCTATTGTTCAATTACCGCCGCCAATTCGCGAATTTCAATTAAATATTCTCATTTTGGCATTGTGGACATCGGCGGAGAAGGCCACTATTCATATTTTTCTGGACTCCTGCATTAAGCAGATAGTCGATCTGAATTTTTATTTCCTCTAACATGACTGAAGGAGGACAAGTTATGATCCATCCGATGAGTCCCTTCAGCAAAAACAAAACTGATCATAGCATATCTACTCACCCTCATCGGTATTCAAATCATCGTAATTATGGTGGCTTTAACTCATCATCCTCACCCTCGGAGTGAAGATGCATGACAAAGTGAGCTTTCACATTCTTTTCGATTAAATTATCAATTAAACTTGCTATATTTATTTGATCAAGAAATCGTTTTCGACCCAATTATATACCTGATTGATTAAGCGAAAAAATGTGCTTTTAATACTGGTCCATCGAAATGATTACGCTGTGTGACGACAAAAATAGATTATTGAAAATCTCGACTAATATTTCTACAGTTCCTTGAAGTTGGTTAAATCATTATTTAGAATCGTTTAAGATAGCTTTCAAATATCGTTCTCCTGACCGTTGAACGATTTGTTGTGCGTTTTCGCGAATCACTCCGTCTGTACCATAAATCACGAAAGCATCATACAGCCTATCATAGTTGACAAGTTGCAAACGGTCCATAATTCGTCTAACTTTACTTTCATTGAGCGGAATGTAGTTCAGAAAGCTGTGCATGAATGTAACTTGTTTCGGATCCATGCAAACTTGAGGCTCATCGCCACTTAGTAATACGCCACGGTGAGATGCTCCCTCTGGCCAGTATAATACTTGTGAACCGTCGAAGTGTCCGCCTGTGTGAATAAGTTTCAATTTTCCATCGAATAAATCTTTCATACTACCATCCCAAAAGTGAATGCACTGGTCAGGTCTCAATACCCACGTTTCCATGTCTCTGTGAAGATAGATAGGTACGTCACCAAACAAGTGACTCCAATCCACTATAGTGGTAAAAAAATGTGGATGAGAAATGGCAATTGCAGTAAGACCACCTAATCTATTGATAAAATCGATAGTATGTTGATCGAGATACGAGATACAATCCCAAAGAATATTGCCATGTGATGTTTGTACTAAAAATGCACGTTGACCAATTCCAAATTGTGGCTCGGTACGAATTGAATATAATCCATTTTCCTCGCACTTAATTTGGTTTTCATATTTGCCCAATATTTCCTCCCGTGTCGTCCATTCTTGGCCATTCTTACCAACATAATGTCGTTCATCTTCACAGATCAAACAATGCGACGGTGGTGATGACGCGAATGGATATTGACCACCACAGTTCACACATATATGACAGGCCATCAGAAAAGCTTACTAATTTCTGAAGAAAACAGAAATAACCCTGTCGAATTTGGCAACCCCTGCGATTGAAAAGTGGCCTATAAAGCTTTGTAGAGCTCAAAAAGGCGCATCGAATGGTATATAGGACATGGCATTTTCGTTAGGTCTTGATGGTTGTAGAGGCCATATAATAGTTATTGACTTATAGAAAAAAACAGCAGTTATGCACATTGTGACCCCATTATACATGCAAATGAGCTCATGCAAAATTCTTTTTAAAACTCAATT